ATATATATTTTGAGATTAGGCTTTAGTGATAGGTAACATCATCACGAGGCCGCTCAGTCCTAAGACTGGTTGGACACGCACCTCCACTCTTTCCTATCCTAACTAGACCTTAATGCCTGAAAAGGTGTCCTAATAACCTATCTCGTCTATTTCGTAATAACTTCTATATATCCCTCTGTTCTCCTATTCTTTCTAATACCTCTTCATTTCCAACCTTCTCTTTCCAGGGTATCCTCGAACGCTTCTAACATTTTCTTTTCCACCGAGCCCACTGTCCATGTTTCGCACTCGTACAGCGCCGCACTCCAAACATACACCTTTAACAGCCTTTTTCGAATTTCTAATGTAACCGTTCGCAAACATGCAAAACTGATTTCTTTTTATTGAAGGCGATTCGACCATGCGCTATCCTCTGCTTTATATCTCTACTGCTCCTTCCGACCTGCCTTGTTTGACTTCCTAGATACCTAAAATCAGTCACTTCTTTTAATTATTATTATCCCGCTCTGCCAGTTTTTTCTTATTTTTGTTTTACTTTTATTTATTTTCATACAGTACTGTTTTGTCAGTACCGCATCCATTTTATTTAAAACTCCTCCTTCCTAGATGCTAATACTTCTATAACATCTGCAAATCTAACCGTACTAATCTTTTGGCCCTGTATATCTATCCTACAGTTGTACTGTCTTTAATGATGTTGATCGCCTCTTCGATGTGTAGATTTAAATGTAGCGGTGACAGTGTGCATCCCTGTCTGACTCCCTTCCTAATATTTACTTCTCTATGTTGCAGCCCTAACTCTACAACTGCCTGTTGCTCTTTATGCAAACTAAGTATCGCTCTTCTATCTTTGTAACTCATCCCTACTGTTTTACGTATATTTAACATCTTGTCCCATTTAATATTGTCAAAAGCTTTTTCTAAATCTACAAATCCTATGTACGCACTCTATTGTACCTCTAAAGCTAGAATGGCTAGTGATAGGTATATAGATATATTAAAATTTTTAAAAGACAAAGTATACATACATTATTTCTAACAATAAGGATTAAAATGGAAATTGTATTAATACCTACGTACTATATTTTGTCATTAAAAAGAAAGCATCAGAAGCAGTTCTTGCTGCAGGGCGCAATTTCATTTTTGAAACGGCGGTGTGACGTTTGGTGCTGAATAATGAATTTAACGAGATAATGAAGCCGAAAATCCGGGTTTGTTCGCCATTGTCGTTGCATTAAAAGTTAATAGAAGTTTACACAGAGTCCATATAAGCTTTATCATCCCAGAACAGGCTGCGGTGGGTAACAGTTCGCGCGATGATTGAGAGGGTTTTAATTGTGCAAGGGGATGGATGAACGAATCAGGCAACGTTTGCTTTGGAACAGGAAACCGACGCCGACTGTTATCCTTTCTGTTCGATTTCACTTATCCCTGAAATCGTATAATAGCCAACTCGGATCCGGCACGATGTGTTATAATGACGTTAACTTTTTAAAGGAGAACTAACGGACAGATTTAACCGTGGATTAAGCTCTTTGTTTATAAGAAGTCAGAAAGGCATTTCTACCATCGAAGTAGTTCCGGAAATAATTACATTTTTGCTAATGAAGAAGAAAAATCTCTATTATTTCTGAGATTATTTCATAAGTGAATAGGGGAGGTTTCCCTGAGTAGTGTTTCAATGGGACACTTTTCGATTCAATATGTAGTTATTCCGTCAAGGGGTCTCAAAGTTGACTAAACTATTGTTTCAGTTTTAAACATGTAAGACTCAATTTCGACTAATTTGAGGATTATCAATATCACATTATTTTGGTGAAATTTCAATATATCTGACTAAAAAACATGAATCATTTCGACTTTTAATCGCAGCTCTTTTATTTCACGTATTATTTGAAAAATTCTTTTATATTCATCTTACGTTTATTAGAATCTATAGCAATCAACATCTGAAATGTTAAAATATATTAATTATTTATTAGCCACAATAGCCAAATCAATGTTAGATAAGTTTGACTCCCCTAATGGTCAACTTTGACATCAGCCTGATGGCGACAAATCTAACCATGGAAGCGAAAAACACCCCATTGAATAGTGATGAGTAAAAGAAGACCGAGACCGAAACTATCCTAGTCTTGGTATAGGTCTTGATCTCGCTTATTCGGTTTTGGTCTTGGTCTAGCTTATGGGGTCTCGTTCTTTTTTCAAACAGCGGTAATTTTTCCTTTATTTATATTTAGTGTTAAAATCTAATAAAGCAAACTTAAAAATTCAAATACTAAAAGTGGTTTGTTCCAAAAAAGTATATATTATAGTTAATTATTAAGATAATTTTAGAATAATTATTATCAACATTCCATCCATTCATTGATGTTATCAGACCAAAAGAAAGTGTTTAGATATTTGTGATGGTAAACTCTAACCATATAGCAATTAATCCTGTTGCAAACAGACGTGATATTAAATGCGTCTGGTTGGCAAATATGCGCTCCGAATTCGCGAACTTCGACAGTGAGTACTTTGCCGCTGGGCAATTTGCGGCTGGACAAGTATAATTCGATTAAATTTTGATAACAACAGCTTTAAAGTTTACATTTCAGTTGGACGGATTAATAATTGCAATCCCAGCGGTGTAGCATATCGCCTATTAATTAGATTTTGTTCCCATATGTAGCTGGTAATATGATGGTTACCTATGTAGATATGCTTACGTTAGGCAACTGTGTATAGTGCTCATTACACATTCAAATATGAGCCTATTCAACCGTCACATTACATTTGTTGGTAGCTTGTTATTAGCTACTCTCATTTCCGCTATTGTTCCATTATTTTATCAATAAATCATAATTGGGCCCGACGATATCAAATATTTGCGATATTTGCGATGTTGATCGCTGATCAATTTGTTTTGGAAAAAATTTGAAAAATGTTCATTTTTCCTGTATCTTTTTCAGAGATCTTCAAGGGAACAACATTACCGTCATTCTTGAATCAGATTTCGAGAGGCTTGGCAAACTTCGAGTTCTGTGAGTTAAGAAATCATACTTACAATTAGTTTTAATATAGTGGTTAAGTTAAGAAGAACCTTCAAATAGATTAACTACTAAATACATTAAATAGAACTTGGGGTAAGAAAATTATAAATTTTGGCAAAAATAAACAAAGCACAACAAAACGCTTTTAAATGTTTCAATAGGTTTCTAATACCAGTAAGTTTTTACAAGTTGTACAGTGGCGCCTAGATTTTATTGGATGCGCTTCTGGCATCTATACAAATTCAATAAAATAATTGAAGCACGTTTTTTTACATCAATTTTGAAACGTATAATCATCTAGGTATAACATAATTATTTTTAGACAACTGACTGATAACCAAATCCATACGATTGAACGAGATGCTTTCCAGGATGTGATCAATTTAGAACGACTGTAAGTATTTACCCAAAACTTACCTAATATAAATAAGTGTTTCTTTAACGCATAAACAAAGACATAAAGAAGTGTTGAAAGCTCTCCCTATTGTAGCTTCTTTCACATTTTTAGCCGGCTCAATGGAAATAATCTCCGACATATTCCTGATAACTTGTTTTCGGCGATGTCCAATTTATTTCGATTGTAAGTCAATAAAATGATTTTTGCAGCATACTTCGTCTTCTTAATTTTTTGCTTTTTCTTCTGCTGCCTTTACAATTAATGTCTACAGCAGGGGTGGCCAAACCAAGTGATCTTGCGGGCCACTTTGGAAATATTAGATTTCCTCATCACTCACTACAGATATTTTTTTGAGCTCATGAATAAAACAACCAATATTTGTCAGATTTACAAGAATATTGTTGTAAAGTCAAAGTTAATTTTCTCTCATAGATTCAACAGTTAATGTTTGAATCTATGATTGCACCAATAATGTATTTTTTTAATATATAGGTTTTTACTACTTTAGCCATTATAATCATCATCATTATAGGGTCTTCAGTTCTAAAACTAAAATACTGGTTTGCAAGGGAAGAAAAAGTAGGGAAAGAGCGCATATAAAGATAGAAAACGAAAAATTAGAAGAAGAAGTTATCTATTTGTGAACAATAATCTACCTCTAATCCTCTTAACTCCTGTTTCTGCTTCTAACATGTCTCTAACTAACATCTCATGTCTGAGAAGGTGTCCTACCAACGTATCTCCCCTATTTCTTATCGGCTTCCATAGCGCTCTCTATTCTCCTACTCATTCTAATATCTTCATTTCTAACCTTCTCTATCAACGGTATTCTCGTCATTCGCCTATAACCCCACATTTCAAACGCTTCTAACCTCTTTTTCTGCACCGCGCCCACCGTCCACGTTTCGCATCCGTACAGCGCCGTGCTCTAAGCAAACACCTTTAACAATATTTCTCGAATTTCTAAACATTAACCGTCCGCGAGCAGAGAAGTGCGAGAAGATATTCTCCGTTTCGTATATCTACTACTCCTTCCATCCTGAATTATCTGATTTCGTAATAGAAATGGAAAATCAGGAACCATTTTAAAATAAAAATCTTGTATAAATCGATAATGAATCTTGCGGGCCGCAAAAATGTTCAAGGTTGGCCATCCCTGGCTTACAGTATGCTAAACTGATATGGCTTACTAACTATTTGTAAGATAACTAAAAGCCGCATTTAAGAAGAACTTACGTAGACGTTTCACGTTATGTTTTTTAAGTTTGTCCTTAAAATAGTGCCTGTAAGATACAAAATAACTAAACTGAGTTGCTAATGCACCTTGCTGTAGGTATTTATGTAGATCCTGCTAACAATAATATAAAGGCACTTGAAATTAATGCTATAATAGGTCTGTTATATATCATTTACTTATAATACACTTTCAGCAATGTTTTCATGAACTATACGCGATTCTATCGATTTTGTGCTTTGTTTTTTTAGAGATTTAAGTCACAACTTATTGACAGTAATAGGCCGGAAAACGCTGAGAGGAATTTCTGCGGTAAAACATTTGTAAGTAACACAAATGACAAATTACAGCGGAAGTGTAACAAAAAGAATTATTTTCAGACAACTTGATAATAATCACCTAACTTGTATTGACGATTCGGCTCTCAGGAGTTTTAAGGATCTGGAAATTTTGTAAGTATTGCCTACAAAAAGGAAAAATAAAGCATCGTATGACGTTTGTAATCTCCATTAATCTATGCACGTACAAAATAAAGTTCAATTTTCAATTAACGTCAGGTTATTATTATTCAAAACGAGATGTCTGGTTTGTTTATTTAAACGTCATCTTATATCATGCGTTTCTATTCCTGTTACTGACAACGCCTTGGAACGTTTTGTTCCGATTGTGCGTTATAATTGATGGTGATTAGAAACACCACACCCTGTATTTGACGAATAAATTTCTTGTGAAATTATCAGCCGACAGCAGAGGTTGTTTTCAGGACCTTAAACAACAACAATCTGACATGGATCGGAAAAGACATGTTCAGCAACATGTTTCGTCTTCGCACGCTGCGATTGAACGACAACTTATTCCATTGCGACTGTCAGCTGTCCTGGTTGGCCAGATATTTAAGGCATTCGACGCGATTAGGCCAGTACACAAGGTGTCACTCGCCGTCAAACCTCAAGGGGCAAAATATCGCCGATCTGCAGGAACAAGATTTCAAATGTTCAGGTGTTGTTTTTTATCATTGTGAAACTATTTTTAACGAATTTCGCATATAACGAACTCGGTTATAACGCTCTTCCTGTTATAAGAACGTAAATGTTCCTATTATTACAATAGACACGTAACTAGTACGTACAGTATTTCATGTTTCGTTTATAACGGCTTCCGGTTATAACGATAGTTGTATTTGTCGTTATAATTAAAATCTACTGCAGTAGGTTCCAAATTCTGAGGTCTTTCGCTTGAGTGATTCATTTTTTAAACAATTTCCTTTATAAAAGTGGGAATATTTAGGTAAAAATATCTTTTTAAAAGTGTCATTTGACAATCCAAGAACATAAAATTGTGGTGAATTGAGATACAGATGAAATTGAAAGTTCGTCCTTTTTAACTAGGATAAAGTCGCGTCGCGCATAGGTCTGAGGTTGAAATTCGAATTCATAAATTGAAACTTTTTCTCTCAGGGTTAGTAGAAAAGGCCATTAGCGGGGAATGTATAAGCGAACCCCTCTGTCCCCATCCCTGTAGATGCGCTGATGGTATTGTCGACTGTCGGGAAAAGGCCCTCCCCAAAGTTCCAGACCATTTGCCTGAAGGAACGACCGAACTGTAAGTGTATAAGTAATACTGATAGCGAACGGCAAAAAGGGAAAACAAATTTCCCGGAAAATGGTGGCTTTATTCAGACTTAAAAAACCCATACGTCATTCTGGTCTCTTTCGTTCATTTAACTTCACGTACGGACCGTTAACGGTTTAAAACATGTTCCAAATACGTTTCCTGGTTTTCTAAATAGATATTTACTCTTCCTACTAACGATTTGCACCAATGTGTACTTTTTTCTTAAACTGCTGTAAATCAATAAACCTCATGAATTCTGAGAGTAGCAATTGCCCGTTTAATCGATAGAAAGAATCGATACCTTTTGGAAAATTTGAGTAATAGAACTTTTGAATAATAAAACTTCCTTCAAATAATCAATCATTTTGAGTAATAAAAAGTTGGTGCTCGGAACTATGGAAATATTTTGCAAAATTTTCTTCTATTATACCAAATTTATATTCCTCTCAAATTACACTCCTTTACGCATTTTATGGACAATAACAATTCAAAGGACTGTTCATAAAATTGGTAAAAATAATCGGAAACAAACCATACTTGTCTTAAAGGTAAAAATAATTTAAAAAATCGATACTTTCGGAAATCGAATTCATTTTTAGAATTAAAAGATTATAGATTAGAACTTACAGAAATATAATTCAAAATGTTTAGGTAGCACACACTGTTATTTCTTCTGTTGTGTCAAATGTTCCAAAAAAAAATATAATAATTTTTTTTTGTAATTCTTATTTTTTGTTTTGTTGCATGGGTTTCGGCCCGTTTGGATTAAAATAAATAAATAAATAGATTAGAAAGTTATTTTTGCAATTGTTTATTTCCATTTACTTTAGGAGACTCGAACAAAACGAAATAACAGAAATCCCGCCGAAAGCTTTCGTAGCTCAGAAGAGATTAAGGAGAATGTAAGTACATAATAAATACAAAATAAGCACTGTGTTTATTCGTTTTTTCTTTGTAGTGACTTGAGTAATAATAAAATATCTAAAATCGCTCCTGATGCTTTTCAAGGGCTAAAAGCTCTGACTTCACTGTGAGTATAATTCGGTTCAATTTTGCTTTAAATTCATGTATATTGACTATTATTTTATTAGGGTTCTGTACGGTAATAAAATCAAGGATCTTCCTGCAGGAATTTTTCAAGGACTAGTCTCTTTACAACTCCTGTATGTAATTTCTTGGTATTAAGTGGTAGTACTGTATTTCTTTATTGTTTTTCTTCTTTTTTAGTTTATTAAATGCAAACGAAATATCTTGCATAAGGAAAGATACATTTCGTGACCTACATAGCTTAAGTTTGTTGTAAGTATTTTCCCTCAAGTGACCATCAAAAGTTCCAAGTTTTGCTCTTTTTTTAGATCTTTGTATGATAATAATATACAATCGTTGGCCAATGGGACATTCGATTCGTTGAAAAGCATTCAGACATTGTAAGTAAACTTTTCCATTATTTTGTATACATCTTTATTTAATAAAATAGTCATCATAAAAGGTCATCGTGTTTGCTGAAAAAAAGATAACCTCGTTACATTATTCTAACATATCAGCCCAGGGGCATTAAAGAAATTCCAGTGTGTCATAAATCTCCCTAACCAAACAATAACGTCACAAATGGATATAGGTACATCTCCAAACAGCCTGCCGTATTATTGCCTATTTGGTATTACCTGTAATACATTTCCGATTACAATTTAGGAAATGTATAGATTTCCTAGGAAATGTGTCTAATATAATTTATTTCACACATTTCCGGGCGATTTTAGGAATTATATACATTTCCTAGGAATTGTATACATTTTCGGTAACATCTACAAATAAAAAATATTGTTAAGTTACCGCAATCGGTCTCAAAGTAAGGGCACAGTATATACTGACAGAAATAGTCAAAAAATTTGCTTTTTAACAAATGAATTTTGAAGAAGACACTTCAAAATGTATTTTTCTCGTATTCTTTTGTTGAGAAAATGTTTCATCATATGAAGATTTCTTCTTCTTCGTGTACATACACGAGTCGCAGATGATGGCGATATGTAGGAATATTATGCCGTTTTCAGACACTTGGCCAGAAATCCTTTCATTTGCGACTGCAATCTACGCTGGCTTGCGGAATATTTGCACAAAAATCCCATCGAAACATCGGGAGCCCGATGCGACACTCCCAAGAGAATGCAACGTCGCAGGATCGAGACGCTCAAGGATGAAAAGTTCAAATGTAAGGGTAAGCGCCACTGCTACGTAAATCAGTGGTTGCGGTGCTATATGCCTTCTCATTTAACCACATATAACCCACCAATCTCTCACAAATATCTGCTCTCAAACTACTCTCATAACCTACTCGCACATTCCTCAGCTTTTTACGCTTATTATCGCCATCGTAAAAACCTCATATATTTTCTCGACTTTATTTATAAGGAAACATACAGGCTGTCCCAGAAAATTTCCGACAAAAACACTCCAATTGATTCTTCACCAAAACTTTTTCATCATCATAAGGTCGTCAGTCCTAAGACTGGTTGGACACGTACCACCACTGTTTCCTATCCTGAGCTAAAATTCGCATTTCCCTAAAACTAGAACAACCCACATCCTTAACTATTTGCGAACAATAATCTAACCTAGGCTTACCTCTACCTCTTCTAACTCCTGTTTCTGCCTCTAATATGTCTCTGACTAGACTTTCATGCCTGAGAAGATGTCCTACCAACCTATCTCGCCTATTTTTTATTGACTTCCATAGAGTCCTCTGTTCTCCTATTCTTTCTAATACCTCTTCATTTCTAACCTTTTCTACCCATGTTATCCTCATCATTCGCCTATAACACTACATTTCGAAGGCTTCTAACTTTTTCTTTTCCGCCCCTCCCACCGTTCATGTTTCGCACCCGTACAACGCCTTGCTCCAAACATACACCTTTAACAACCTTTTTCGAATTTCTAAATTAACCGTTCGCGAGCGTAGAAGTGACTTCTTTTTATTAAACCCTGCGCTATCCTCTGCTTTATATCCCTATTAGTCCTTCCATCCTGACTTATCTGACTTCCTAGATATCTAAAATCAGCCACTTCTTCTAATTTTTCGTCTCCTATCTTTCCCTACTTTTTCTTCCCTTGTATACCAGTATTTTAGGTATCTAAACATTTTTAGTACAGCCTGAGAATTCAAATAATCATTTTAGAATTGTATCGAATGTTAATCGTTTAATTTCCCATAATTGTAATGAACTTTTGAGTTCTCCTGTTTAATTGTTACGGGAAACGTTACCCTTTTCCAATTTCTTTTTGGCAATTCCTACACGTTTCTCCTTCTGCTTCCTTTGGGATTGTTCTTTTTCCGGAAAATAACGAGCGTCATTAGAAAACATTTCTAGGCCAAGAGGAGTTTCGAACTAAATATGCCGGAGAATGTTTAATAGACAACGCCTGTCCAAATGGATGTAGTTGTGATGGTACTATAGTTGACTGCTCAGGTCGTGGTCTAAAGGAAATACCGAAAGATATTCCTCTTTATACCACAGAATTGTAAGCGATACTTCCAGTAAAATTAAATTTTATGGAAATGATGTAGTGGATCTTTTTTACAGATTACTTCATGACAACGAACTTGGTAAAATAAAGTCTGATGGATTATTCGGTAGACTCCCAAATCTAATCAAACTAGACTTACGTCGAAATCAAATTATTGGGATAGAAAAGAATGCATTTGAAGGAGCCACGCAAATTGTAGAACTGTTAGTGTAGTTTTCCTTGTAATTAATCGGATGCTATTAATTCCCTTATCTTGCAGGCTTTTATCAGAGAACAAACTATTGGAAATCCACAACAAAATGTTTTTCGGACTCCATAATCTCAAAGTACTATCTCTTAACAACAATCACATTACGTGCGTGATGCCGGGCTCATTTGACCATTTGACTTCTCTTCATACTTTGTACGATAAAAACGTCCTTATCGGTTCTATCATCATTCAAATTTAATTACTTATTTTCGTAGAAACCTGATCCAAAATCCATTTGCTTGCAATTGTCATTTGGCGTGGTTCTCGGAATGGCTAAAGAATAAAGGTTTGAGTGGGTCTCCTCCTCGATGTGCTTTTCCAGTCAAAGTAAAAGATGTTTTGATAAAGGAACTTGCGCAAAACGAATTTAAATGCACTAGTAAGAGATTAAAAGAAAATATTTACAACAGGGGAGGGAATATCTTTCGATTACTTACAGGTGACAACGATCAGGGATGTTTGGGTGACAACTACTGCCCTCCTATGTGCACTTGTACTGGAACGGTGGTGCGCTGTTCCCGAGCCAAGTTGAGAGAAATCCCAAGGGGAATTCCCCCTGAGACGTCTGAACTGTAAGAACGATGTTTTAGTCTATTTCTGTTGTCTGTTAAAAAACCTTTTGTCTTCTTTTCCTGTCCAATGCAGATACCTGGATGTGAACGAGATTCAAAGCATTCAAGCCGATAGAATTAATCATTTAAAATCCCTCACACGATTGTAAGTAGCTACTAGTTTAGGAAATTAATTTTTCGGTAATAATTTGATTGGTTTTTGACGTGACAACGTCTTATAATTCGATGGAGCCGGCTGCACGCACGAAAAAACATGACTCATGCGACGTTACCTCGCTCTGAGGCGTTCCATTTAAGGCTTGAAGTGCAAGCGAGAGCGCGGAACGAGCGACAAAGAGGCACAATCGGCCTCCGCGTTCGGCAGCGTTCGACATCTGTCTCTCTCCTACTTGAGTGAGCGATGCGTCCGCGTGGACAGCTGCTATACAATAATATATTTCCATTTACCTCCTTCTCTATATCCATACAAAATATCTATCAAACAAATAAAATTAAAATTTTCTTTTGAAAAATGAAACCATTCCATCAGTATTTTCTTATGACGTTGTCACGTTCAACTATCATCAGTAAATCGACTTTACAGACAACCGATTTTTTTTTTCAGAGATCTGAGTAATAACCAAATAGGTATTTTGGCTAATAATTCCTTTATCAGTTTATCGAAACTATCAACGTTGATTATCAGTTATAATAAACTTCAGTGTGTTCAGCGTGACGCACTTACCGGTCTTAAGTCTTTGAGAATTCTGTGAGTTTCTTGTATTCTAATGTCAACATTGGAAAACCTTTTATGGATGTGTTATACTTTTTTTTTTTAGTTCTCTGCATGGTAATCAAATCTCAATGATTCCCGAAGGCGCTTTTGCAGATTTGAAATCGATTACTCATTTGTAAGAGAAATGATAGTTATAAGTGTTTAATTTTTGTGAAATTTATCATGTAGGTAATGTTTTTAGAGCTTTAGGTGCTAATCCGCTCTATTGCGATTGTTCGTTACGGTGGTTAGCGGAATGGGTTAAAGTGGATTACGTTGAACCAGGAATCGCAAGATGCGCTGAACCTGTGGACATGAAAGAAAAACTCATCCTGTCAACTCCCACTTCAGCTTTTCAATGTAAAGGTAAGAAATATTGTTATGATTCCGTTTTTGTGGTTTCTTGAATAGTACATTCATGTTCAATTAATTGAACAAAAACTAAACAACATCCAGCATATGTTAGCATTACTTTAATTATTATTAAATCTAAAGCGTAAACAAATGGTTAGGTAGTCTTAATCTTTAATGCTTTTGTTATTAAGCAGCGAATTCACAAACTAAAAAGTAGAATAATTTTTTGAATTTCTCCAAAAATAGATATAGTGTGAAATTTGTAGGTACATGAATCTTACAAGACTATGAAATTTTGAAGTATATCATCATAATAAAGTCGTCAGTCCTAATACTGATTGGACACGCACCTCCACTCTTTCTTATTCTAACCTAATCTTCGCATTCCCCAAAAACTAGAACATCCAACATCGGTAACTATTTGTGAACAGTAATCTAATCTAGGTCTATCTCTACTCCTCCTAATTCCTGTTTCTACCTCTAATATGTCTCTGACTAGACCTTCATGCCTGAAAAGGTGTCCTACCAACCTATTTCACCTATTTCTTATTGACTTCCACAGAGTCCTCTGTTCTCATATTCTTTTTAATACCACTTCATTTTTAACCCCCTCTATCAACGGTATCCTCATCATTGGCCTGTAACACTATATTTCGAACACTTCTAGCCTTTTCTTTTCCGCAGCGCCCACCGTCCATGTTTCGCACCCGTACAGCATCGCGCTCCAAACATACACCTTTAACAATCTTTTTCAAATTTCTAGATTAACAATTTGCAAGCATAGAAGTGACTTCTTTTTATTGACGGCAACTCGATCTTGCGCTATCCTCTGCTTTATATCCCTCCGACTCCTTCCGTCCTGACTTATCCGACTTCCTAGATACCTAAAATCTGTCACTTGTTCTAATTTTTCGTCTCCTATCTTTCCCTACTTGCAAACTAGTATTATTGTTTTACTTTTATTTATTTTATTTTTGAAGTACATAGAAGGTAAAAATAATATTGCATCGTATCTCATTTAATTGAGTTGGGTCCTGGTATACACTTTGATCTCCTGAAGATTAAACGCGACGTACGAGACGTCTCGTTAAAGTTTGTCCTTTTTGACACTTTAGAAAAACGTTTACTAACACCAGAAGAGGATATGTACTTACAAACTCACATACAGATATATGTACGGACAGGTATTTGTTGTGTCTGCAAGTTCGTATATTTGCATGCACGTGAATATTCCTGAATCGGTCGCTGCTTTCAGGGAAAGTGAGTAATGAGATTCTGGCGAAATGCAACGCTTGTTATACATTCCCTTGTAAAAATGGTGGCAAATGTTTCCCGATGGCTGAAAGGGACTACGAATGTAACTGTGCTCCAGGTTACCATGGAAAAGATTGCGAATTCATGATCGACGCTTGCTACGGAAACCCGTGTCGTAATGGAGCTTCGTGCAAGGTTTTGGAAGAGGGACGATTCAGGTACGTAATGATGTAATTAGTGTCTGCGTTAAAAAGTACAAGAATATTATTATTACCTACCTACTACTAAAAGTCTCATTCCTTCAGGGTTTATCGTTTTCTTTGAGTTGATTCACATTACCAATTAAATTGGATGCTTTGAAATAGTATTGCTTTTGTTGCAACAAATTAATGGCTGTTGTTTTCAAAAAGTCATTGATATCGGTTTAACAGATGTCAGAAGTTCTTCCTTATTTTTGGAACGAAGAAAGTTTAAATTACAAATATAATAAATTAAATAAAAACTTTTTTATAAGCTGACACTAAATTCCCTAGATCTGGGGAAGTTTTCCTAGGTCTGACAATGCTAGCCAAAAATCAAAGTGTTAGTGGGCATCTCTCTCCCTCTTGCTTGGTGCTTGTAATGAGAGAGGGAGAGAAAAAACCATCTGGCAATATGATTAGTCTGCTTTTTGGTAAATACATCCAATAGGAATCGTTTTAAAAAGCTTTGGAAGCTTTCCCGTTAGTGGCATTTCTTTTTTACAAAATACCTTAACTGAAATTTATAATTAATATTTGTCGAATAGGGTAGTTTAGTAGAACAAGAAAGTAGTTTCTTTCTTCTTTATTGCGTACGTACGTATTTGTGACACGGTGTACATTTTTTCAGTTGTGTTTGTTCTCCGGGATTCACCGGTTTACGCTGCGAGGCGAACATAGACGATTGTGCCAACCATAAGTGCCAAAATAACGCAACATGCGTTGATCAAATCCAGGCATACCACTGCAAATGCACAAAAGGATTCATGGGTATTATTCTGAAAACGCCATTTTACGCTCCCTTTTTGTTCACGATCAGGATTTTTTTTAACAGGCGAATACTGCGAAACTAAAATACCTTTTTGCACGAAAGAGTTCAACCCTTGTAAAAATGGAGCCAAGTGCGTCGATCATTTTACCCATTACACGTGCGAATGCCTCCCTGGATTCAAAGGGGATAATTGCACCATTAATATTGACGACTGTGAAAATCACATGTGTCAAGTAAGACAATACAAAGTACCTACTTTCTACTTTAACACTTTTTATAATTTTATTTATTCATAGAATGGAGCTACTTGTGTTGACGGTATAAACGATTATCAGTGTAAATGTGCTGAAGATTATACGGGAAAATTCTGCGAAGTGTCTCCCCTTGTCGCCATGATGTACCCCCAAACATCACCCTGTCAACACCACGAGTGCGTCCATGGGGTCTGTTTTCAACCGTCTGGCTCCAACGATTACATGTGCAAATGTGCTCCTGGATACTCGGGTAAAGTCTTTTCTTATTAAGACGAAGTTTTTATTTATATCTCATCCTTGGACTGTTTTTGTTGGTGCCATTTTAGGTAAACGGTGTGAATATTTAACGAGTTTGAGCTTCATCCATAACACGTCGTACATCGAATTGGAGCCCTTAAGGACAAAACCGGAAGCAAACGTGACTATAATTTTCGCTACGACTCAAGAAAATGGTGTCCTCATGTATGACGGCCACCAGGAGCATTTAGCCGTTGAGCTGTTTAATGGAAGAATCAGAATTAGTTACGATGTTGGAAATTATCCTGTTTCGACTATGTACAGGTAAAAATATTTACTATTTATTTCTATTTAATTGCCTTACGTTTACGTTTTTCTTTTCTTTTCAGTTTTGAAATGGTATCTGATGGTCAATACCATGTGGCCGAATTGCTAGCCATCAAGAAGAACTTTACATTGCGTGTCGATCGAGGATTAGCAAGATCGATAATCAATGAAGGATCCAAGGACTATTTGCGACTCACCACTCCCATGTATCTTGGAGGAATTCCGTCAGAACCGGGGCAAGAAGCCTTCACTTTGTGGCATCTAAGAAACCTGACCAGCTTTAACGGTAAGTAATTAGGGAAATGTTTTGGAAAATGTAAATTTTAAAATGGCGTCTATATTTATATTGTCCTTCAGCCACCATTTTGAAAATATCCCTTGAACAATGCATCTTTCGATAAAAGTGACAGAGAATCTTTAGTATTTTAAGATAAAAAATTAAGGAAATTCAATACTGTATCAAAAAAAATTGATGTTATTTTTGTGTACGAAATATTTAACAGAACGTCATTATGAAAATGGCGACTTTGACTTTGGTTAAATTTTATATTCGAGAGGATTTTCCTTTAGGAATCCCCTTACCAGTATTCCTTTCAGTACAGCTGTGATAATTTGCTTCTTGCAATTTTCAGGTTGTATGAAGGAAGTTTGGATCAACCATAAGCAAGTAGATTTTGGAAACGCTGCTACCCAGCATAAAGTCACTCCGGGTTGTACGATGATGGAGACAGAAAGGGACGAATCGCAACAAGAGGACGAGATGGACACAATGATCGAGGAGCCGATCGGTTCGATCGATCCGTGTGCGAAGAATCAATGCAAACATGACAGCAAATGTGTTGCCAGCAAAAACGGAGAGTACACCTGCCGATGCAAGCAGGGTTACAAAGGGAAATATTGCGAACAAGGCGAACTGGAATGTAAGTATTTACTCGTCTTTTGTTACGTTGATTGTTATGTTATGGTTTTTGATTTGTTTCAGCGTCGACTTGCCGAAAGGAACAGGTAAGGGAGTACTATTCTGAGCACGGTTGTCGGTCAAGGAAACCCCTCAAAATGGCCAAATGTATAGGCGGTTGTGGATCGATGTGCTGTCACGCACGTAAAAGCAAACGTCGCAAAGTAAGTAATATTTCTTGATACGATGTATTTATTATTTTCGAGTACCAGAATTTTATTGAATTTATGACTTCTTACAGTGAATTACCAATTTTGAATTGCTATTCTCTTTTATTATCCCAGTCTTAACCAGTCGTATACCATTTTAATGTTAACAGTGATTTATTGAGAGTTCTTATGGCGTGCTGGTGATAACTAATAAGTTCGAAATCGCGATTTGCGCCTGGTAGTTTATTGGCGAATAATCATTCTTAAATACGTTCGGGTACAATTTTCCAATTTTTTATTTTTTCGTACTTTTTTCTAGCTTTAATGATAAGTAACCCCTTGCAGCGCTGTTATTTAAATTAATAATACAGTAAAAGTTCTTCATTCGCGTGGTATATGTTTCATAAATATGCCGCGAATACAGAAACCGTGAATATGGAATGGTAATTAGTATGGAATCATAGGGGATACGTTCTAAGGTTACAAAATAAAACCAAAAGGGTTTAAAAACTTTAGTGATTTTTTCTTATTTTGAATTAGTCCACTCGGTTACAAGCTGCCTCGACACGTACCAACTCTAGGTACATACTCAAAAGATGCTGATACTTTAAGGGGCTTCAGTAGTACACGCGCCATAGAGTAAAAAACATCTTTATCGGTTTTAGATATCATGAGTTTAATGTTTGAAAAAGAGGTTTAAAATTTTGTAGTAAGATAGATAAATCTTTGTTCTAAAGCCTGTCGAAGGCCATTTTTAAATTTTTTAATTTCTATTAAAAATACGTGTCCTACAAGAAGCATCAACTTTAAGCACTTGTAAATGCTTTTAATGACCATATTATTGAAAACCAAAAACGTATCGAGTTAGTGTGAACCTTTGCCTGTTACCATACAAAAAATCAGATACTTATCACGCAGCGTTAAATCACAATGTTTAAAATAGAGACCCATATCTTCGGAAAATTTTACAGTAGGCACGAGCGGTCTATTGCGGTCAATCCCCTTAATAAATGACACCGAATCCTTTTCTGTTTACCGATTGCATCCGCGAATAATCAAAATTTTTGCCCTGAATACAGGAACAGGGTTGCAATTTTTTCACCCGCGAATAAGGAAACCGCGAATAAGAAACTTTTACTGTAGTTAAAGATGAATATCAATCGAGTAACACATAAAACAATATGATATTCCATTGCAGGTTCGCTTGATTTGTAACGACGGTACCCGTTATACCAAAGATATAGACATCATACGCAAATGCGCATGTACAAAAAAATGTTACTGACTGATAAATGCCGCTAATCACAATTCAAACAACACCACAACATTGACTCTTAACGACCACCCTAAAACTGATGACTTGGGCTCGATTTCGTCCCAACAACCCTACAAACTAACATTCGAAATCAAAAATTCGACCGACAACGACGCCATCGTCAACGACGACGCTGTTTCACAACGGCACAAACTTTTAGACGACGTCGCAGACGATGACAACGTGATCGTATCGAATTTTGATTCGGACGATATCGAGTCTGAAAAATTGTCCCAGATGATTTACAACAGCCAACACGAATCGTGCATAATATCGGCCTTCCTGTATCTAATAACGATCACCATGTTCGCATACTTGGTCATATTGTGGATAAAACAGAAGGTCCACACGCGAATGGAGGTCATGCACATGTGGTAGGTTTTCCCGATCGGCATAAATAAAAAAATACATCGGTTGTTAGTGTTGTTGTCGTTCTTTTCTTTTTTGTATTTTTGCTTTTGTCAGCAAATATTTAAACAACGCGCATGCACATAACAACAAAAGAATGAAAAATAAGTTAAACAATAATAACACTTATTTTTTTTGCCGTTCGAATTTTTGACCGTTATCAGGGTATTTTTTATACAAACACCGACTGACCTGTAGTGTGTAGCAAACAGATAAAGAAGTAAAAATTGTAATGGTTTTCTTTTCTATTATAATAATAGACCCTTTAATTAAAGTTATTGTAAGATGTCTGCTCCACCTTTTGATGGTCAAACAATTTTCATTTGGTGAAATTATATTTATGTGTAATTATAACGTTTTTTTGCCATAAACAAACATTCAACAGAACATAATCAACCAAAAACGAAAGACTTTTCACATTACCATTGACTAAATTCCTGATTTACATGTTTTTGTGTAAGTTCATTACTGCGACCTCTCTAGTCGGGTTTATTAAGTAGTAAAGCGCTCCTGGTACCGCCGAAATGGCCGCTCTGGCTTCTACTGATTTATCAGCGTGGTAAATGACAATATAATCAAATTAACCTACAAATTTATTAAAAACAGTAAATTAATAAAGAACAACTTTAAAAGAAATTATGTTTAGGACAAAAACAATATTATTTATTATTCAAAATTTACATGAGTTAATTGCGTACGTTTTGCTAAAAAGGGATAAGCAGTATTGTTTTATTCATAACTTATTTATTTATTAATTTTTTTATTAAGAAGTTGTCATAGTTATGAGAAAATTTCAGCAACCGAGAGTATCAGTGTTAATTACGTAACTGTTATTTACATAGCACAATTTTGTTTAACAAATTCGACCAATTTTCTTCTGCATTCACTTAAATTAAAAACGGAATGTTGGCCATCAAAAGTTACTGTATCTTCTAATTTAGAACACAAACGGTAATTGTAAGAAGGTAGAGACATATTTAGGTACTTTAATGCTAGAAAGCTCAGGCAAATTTCGTTATGTATCATGATTTAAGCATTCTAAAAGTTTCAATAACTCATCACTAACGTCATCAAAGAGTAAAAATGGAATCTCAAGCAGGATAACTAACTTTCATTATTGTTTGTATTGATATAATATGTAAGAACTTATTAACTCATGCTTACAAAAAAGGACAAACTTTTTTATAATGCCCTCGATAAAACCCCCTTCCCTACCATAAAAACGGCCAGTTTAATGTTGTTGTCAAACTTCTTCTCCCCAAGCTATGTTTGTTAGAATTGTGACTAGTGGCAGAGATATAAAACTTAAAAAGTTATCAATTATATTATAGTACATAGTTTAATGTGTAAAACAAAAGTACTACTACTACTACTATCACTAATTGTACGTTTATCGTCTCTATTTCGAAAAAATGATTAATTTATTTAATGTATGTTATTATATTTTATCTATGTTTTCATAAGCGTTATTACTTTATGTATAGCGCGCTTTTTTTATTGTAAATTATTTTATTTTATTAGTAGGTTGTCACTGCCCCCAACCCCTTCCTTTTTTTATTTTTGCTTACATTTGAANTAGAATATATTTTCTTGGCAGCTCTAAACGAACTGAATTGTTACCAAGTATTGTTTATTACTATTACTACTTTAATTATGAATATTGCGGCGTGTTCTGTTACAGTAAATATTTGTTTATTTTTTACGGATGTGATTTTCTTTAACCACATCAAAATTACATCAACCAAAAGTATACAAGTTAAAAATAGTTTTTAATTTAATTTTTGGTTATCACCCTGTAAAGTTTTGAATGTTTCTTCCGATCTTTAAATTGTTCAAAAATCATTCAAGCACAAATATTAATCTGTTAAATTTTTAATTTGGACACGTGGAAAAAAATTACATCCTCATTCCAAATCGGTTTTGTAGATCATTTTATTTTCGACCATTAAGAGGCTAATTAACTATAAAAAATGACGGTAGCTTAAATTTTCGTAAATGTTTTTAATATTGTACAGAAAGGAAGCATTTAAATGCGAATTCGTTTTCAAAAAACAACAAAATAGGAGATAACAAAATTTTTGATAATTATGGAAGCGGTTTCGCAAAAATATTTGTTTCCTTATCTTCTACTCACTGTGTATATTTAACTAAAGAAACAGTATTGCTCATGTGTCATATAAAACAGGATATTCATTTTTACTTAAATAAGGATGCCTGTAATTAAGACTTTGTGACAAAAACTGCTTTGCGCCTAATTATCTTAATTTATAACAGATTTTGTGTATAAAATATATTGATTTCATCGAAGTTTCGTTTTATGAAATCCCTTGAGTTTTTAATATTTTTTCTTTTTAGGTAAAGTTCATTTGCATTTATGTTGTATTAAGCATTTAATTAAAAAGGCAGTAAAGTAACAAGAAACACCCTGTATAGTATAATTGTATATGTGGCGCCCTCTTCTAAGGAGAAGCTACAGTACAGTTGTATCATTGGAAGAAATTGCTTGATTTGATATCTAGTATTCACTTTCTACTAGAGAGGGCAAAACAATACCCACTAACAGCAATATTCCCACAAAATTTCATTTTTCTCTTAATAATCTTTTGTAAATAAACGTATACAAACACATGTGCAATGCAAACCGTATTGAGATATAAAACTTAAAGTTTAAAAAAGTATCGTAATTTTTTAAAGGATTCATGAATGGTTGCATGGATTATCATGCTTGGGGGCATTAGAAAGAGAAAGGTAATCGAACTGTCAAAGTCAATTTTTACGGTTATTGTAGTTAATAGTGTAGTTTTTATAGTTTTTTATAAAAGATTCGTGACTATGTTAATAAATTTTAATCTTTTGTCCATTATGTTTAGTAGTACGACTATACCTGTAACATAAGTGTGTTATCGTGTTATATTGTTATCGTTATGTTTTTGTTTGGGACTATTCCAACTAACTTTGGTTTTATTGTATGATTTAATAACGAGCTGATTTCAACTGAAAACTATTGCAGAAATGGGGCAAACGGTCAGCGGCATTCCAGGTAAGTTGCTTTTTTAACTAATCCATTCATTTGCTATTTTTTATTAGCTCTTACTTGAATGAGGTTATGTTACTTCAATATCTCTTTTAAAAACTTCGTTTTGTAGCAAACAGCTCCTTTATTACATAAATTGTAAACAACTACTTCACTTTTACAAGATTATACAAGTCTGAATCATTCATATAAAGTAGCATTGAATTACTGTTGTGTTACAATTTTTTTAAAAGTAATGTATTTTTTTTTAATGATAATGACCTTATTTTAGTAAACAGTTAAGTCTTGTTTAACTTACACACAGTCTGTTTATTATTCTACATTTTTGTATTATTTTTCGATTATTTGATCGAAAAGAGTGGGTGCGTGAATGCTATTCTATTCTTGTCACGTGTTTGAACTGTTAGCACCTAGGTACTTGTTATTTTAATTTTATTCTTATAAACAATGAAGCAGATAATGTATTAAATGGTATTTTTCTCATGAATTGACACAGAAGACTCATTTATGTGAATTACAAATATTAACGTAATACGTACCTATCCAGAAATGCATGAGCATCTATTTGGTCCACCAGAAACATTTAAATAATGTTAATTAAAAAACTCCTCATTTTCAAACTTGTAATAAGTATTTTTGAGCCACTCAATTTCTTAGATCACATTGAATTTTTCTATTTAGTATGAACATGTCTAGTTTGTAGATAAGGTTCTTTGAGCCAATGACTTTTTTATTTACTTTCATATCAACGTACATATTCCTATCAGTAAATAAGTATGCATGTGCTTGTTAGTTTTTAACAGAAGATTAAGTCGGTTAGATATTCATTAGAAGTCAGAATTAGGTACCAGACATCAGTTTCTTTTTTCATTGGCCAGTCAACGATCTGATCGTGAATTTTTGGTTTATATCATCAATTAGGATTGTAAACATCAGCGAGAGAGCCGAGATAAAAATAAAGGAGCTTCCGTATTCTCATGTCTGATTTCTAAACATAAGTACCTACTTGATATTATCGTTACACAGTGATGAAAATTCAAGCAACAAGAATGTGTAATTTTGTTAAAAGTATTCAGTAGGCACATTTGGTGATAGGTAGGTTTTTCCCATGAAAACAGTCAGAATTTGTACTTAAAATTTAACATTTAATGCAGTGTTTGATTATTTAAACTTCTTAAGCAAAAGTGTATTACATTTAGAATGTGAGTTCAACTATTTATTTATGTGAGTCATTAAAATAGAACATTGGACAACTGAAGATTCTATAAGTAAATATCAAAATAAAATGATTTAATGGAGAACGGTTCTTATTAGTTTTTCAAATCAATAATTGTCTTCTGTCTTCTATATACTTATAAATCTTTTTCTTAATTTTCGTCGACTTCTTTAAAAGATTTTATCTACTTCGCGTTTAGGTCGAAGTTACATGATCTTTCTGAAGCTGTAGGTTTTCTAATGATGAAAAAATATTGATAATCTAGATTGTATTTCCATGGGTTATTGTTAACAAACATAAACCTACGTTTATACAGTTTTAAGCAGATAGATGTACATAATTGTTTAATGATTTTCATTCAGAGCTTTTGAAGATTGTATAAATTATTATTTTCAAATTGATTGTATAATGTAGCCATCCAGCCTGTAATGGCACCCACTCTTTAATGTGCAACAATATCGTCTAATAAATAACGGCTATTTTTAACTCGTCAAATAATTTATTCTCTAATTTCATCAAGCGATTAAAGAAGCAGTCGTGGTCTCCTCCCACACGCAAAGACACACACACACACACACACACACACACACAAATTCAAAATTCATTTTACACCATTTCGTTGTCATATGAAACGAGAAGGAGGCTGAGGTTGACACCACAGGTCACGACCTCTGACTGTCCTTTCAATTGGATAATTTGAACAGCCATTATTACTTGCATGAAACCCAGTCACATTTACTTGTTATGAGGGTCTTACTTCGTTCCTCATTTCCTGTTAATGTGTACCTACCCATTACATATGCATGTATGTATAAAAGCCCTTCTTTGTCTTCCCTCAATATAAAAGGTTTCGTCTTTGAAAGAGTTGAAAACTTAATAAAAAATTGTTAGTAAAGGTCTAGATGATGGGGGGATCGAAAGAGGAGGTCTCCCCCACCACTGTATCATAAAAAGTTCGTGGCGGTCTCACCCCAATAAAAAGTTATGGGGGTTCTAAGTTAATAAATATGCCAATTTTTATACATTTCTAGGCATGTAAATATTTATATAGTCATTCTTAAACAATATTCGAAGGTAAAACTAATGAAAAATACATAAAAATATTGAGAAAGTTATATCTATAAAACATTATTTAAATATCTTTATCAATAGGTAGGTTATCGGGTTTTATTCAAAGTGACCACCCTCTTTCGATCCCCCACCTCCACCCGCTTGGAAATGATTTTTTTATTGAATTTTATTTGAATTATAGTGTATGCAAATTGTCAAAATAATCAACTTTCAACCCCCATAACTTTTTATGGGGGTGAGACCGCCACGAACTTTTTATGGTACTGTGGTGGGAAAGGCCTCCTCTTTCGATCCCACCTACCCTTTCGGGGGTGGGGGCCATCATCTAGACATTTACCAAATAGTTTTTACTAGGTTTTACCCGCGGCTTCGCTCGCGTTGATGTCTTAAACGCATGTCAATGATCATCGACGACCACAAAAAACTAGTTTTACTATCCCTCGGGAACAAAATTGTTTACCCCATGTCCTTGTCTGTACCCCTGACAATGTGTACACAAATTTTCGTGGTGGATTTTACCCGCAGCTTAGCTTACGTTGATGCTCGTGTCAAAGATCATCGACGACCACATAAAACTAATATTTCTATCCCTTTGGGAACAGTATTTTTTCTGGATGAAAGGTACCCTCTGTCCTTTTCTGTACCTGTAACAATGTTTGTACAGAATTTCATGATATTCGATTGAGTAGTTAAGGTGTGAGATGATAGCAAGCAAATAAACTAAGAACCTCCCATTCGCATTTATAATATTAGTTAGGATATATCTGCATTTGAACAAAATTAAAATTAATTATTGATCAATATAGATAGTAACTTTTCAATTCCTCCCCCCTTTACCCCTTGGCTACGTTGGCCACAGAAAAAGCCTACTCTAACCTCTCGCCCGAAGATTTCGAAATTTCTACGTGTAATTTTTGACCTGTACTTTCCCTATGCTGACAAGGATTACCTAATGACGATCCTAATTGTAGCATCAACGAATATCTTTTGATCTTTCATCCTGATCGTGCAAAAATGCAATAAACTGGCGAATCTTTCGTGTATGAACAATCATATACTAATTAATAATAGAAGTAAAGATTGTGAGTTTTTGTACAATTTAGTTCGTGCAAAAAGGGTCGATTAACAGTTAAAACCGTAATTAGAAAATTTACTGTTTCAATAAGTTTACTTTTATGTAATACCTACTGCAAACAAAATTAACGAAAGTAATGCGAAATAAGTAGATATAAATGTGTAAATTTCGGTTTTCAAATTGCCTTAATCTTTTTTTAACTTGTCCTGATTGCACAGTCTGGCTATGATCCTGGTTGGAAATACTAGAAGTTCTGTTATAATACTAATCGTAGAAAATCGCTAAGAAAAGCTGTAACATAAGATTAGCAAAAAGTAAATTGTGCATTGATAATTTTGTTTTCGTGGAAAATCCTGGAAATTGTGCTACCTGTTTTGCCTCTTATTTTTAGGTTTCCGACTGTTCAATAATTATTTGGCATTTAATGACATTACATGATAAGTACGGTTACATTAGATACTGCTAATGGTATAATTGCTGTTAAATCGGAAATTAATTTCCTCTTTGAAATTATCAAGCGCCAGAAATAGAGGCTCGGGGAATCGGTATGGTACTAATAGTGTACTTAATGACTAAAAAATACGTTATAACCCAAGTTCAAAACAACGTTAAACATGTATAGAAGCACCCTTTGGCCTTACTTATACAAACCAAATGTGATAATCTGAAAATTTTGACTAATAACACGGAAAATACAGTAGACAGTATTTAGCAAAATAAATTTACATTCATCACCGTTTAAGAGCTACGCTCTTGTTGATGTAGCACCCTCCACATTTTCCAGTTCTCGAGGTACTTATTTAAGGTTCTGTTAAGATGTTACTCTTGTTTTAATCGCAGGTTTTCCTCTACCTCTTCTTCGTTTTACTTTTCCTACAATTATCGCTTTTATAAAATCATCATGCCTTAGTAAATGGCTTATTGTTTTCAATCTAATTATATTTAATTAGATACCACGTAGGGGTAGATACGTTAAAAGGCTAATCGTAATCTAGAACGGGGACCTAAAGAGAGAAGAGAAGTTGGACTTAGTTTACTTTTAATAATGATCTTGAAAAATGTATTTTAACATTTTAAATTTATGTTTTCTAAAATTAATAAAGTCATATTCTAAAATTTAATTCTGTGATGGGTAAGCATCGTCAAGCATATGTGTGTTGCGGACGTTCACCCTAGAATACTTTTCCCACCCTATAGGTACTAGCCTCCCCCATAGTTGGACGTTAGCTTCCTTCCTTCCTTCCTTTTATCCGTCCGCTTTCTAGCATCGGCATCTGCCTATAGACCACCCGTTCAACCCCATAAATTGTTATCCATTAACGATATTTATTCAAAAAACATTATCTACAGTGTGATGAGTATATAGACACACAGATTCATAACAATAATAAGTAAGGTCAAAACATCTAATGTCAATTTAACAATTTGATTTTAATTGTATCTGAATAAAAAAAGAGACTAAGCAATCCCTAAGGAACAATATTATCTAATATCTCCGGGAGAACATTAATAAAATTAAAAAATGAAAATTTACCTAAATGTTAAAGCGATATTTACAATTTATCTCACTAGCCCGTTGCTTCGTAAGCGAAAATAATAAAAATTACAATTTCGATCTGAATTTGTAAAAATAAAATCCCAACA